GAGGGAGGCAGCATGTCTGGCCTTGCAGTAATAGGCCTTGGGCTACTGATAGTGATCCTGTCTTCCTCTTGTGGGATTAGAGGAGGTCAGGAGATATGGCCTTTTTTTTGCACTGCCTTACCCCAGTAGACATCAGCCCTTGTTCTAGGTCCCAGACCCTCTCAGCCTACCCCTGTCATTAAAGCCCATGTTTCCATGTTGGACTATGCTATAAGATCTAGAGGTAAATGTTGTATTCAACACAATTCATTTGGGATTACTAATTCAGAATTCAGTTAGAGTAATAATTACTGAACATCTCAACACCCATCCTCATCCTCTCTTGAATGAATATCTTCAGGATGTTCTTCTTCATTCTATCCATCCCATCTATCTCCCCACACTCACAGGCATCTTGACAGATATCTCACTTGATATCACAGATATCTCCTTTGGCTCCCTTCTGCTCTCCTCTCTCTATTATTTCTCTATGCTCTACTCTTCTAGGCTTCTTTTCTTCCCACCATTTTCCTTCTTTTCCTACCCAACTTCTTAAAATAATGATCATGCTCACAGTGCTATTTCTTCACTAGACACTCTGGCTTTGTTTGTTGTGTTGTTATATGCTGTCGAGTTGGACTCGACTCATAGTGACACTTCCTTGGGTTTCTGAGACAGTATCACTACGGAAGTAGATTGCCTAACCTTCCTTCCGAGGATTGGCTGGTAGGTTTGAACCGCCAGCCTTCTGGTTAGCAGTCAAGTGCCTTAGGCACTACGCTACCAAACCTTCACTCTGGCTTTTTAGTCCTTGCTCTTTTTCCCTGTCTGCATCCACCCTTATCTCCCTTTAATATCCAACATTCCTGACAAAAAAAAAAAAAAAAAACTAAATTCACTGCTGTCAAGTCAGATCCGACTCATAGCAACACTTCCTTGGGTTTCTGAGGCATTATCTCTATGGAAGTAGATTGTCCAGTCTTCCTTCCAAGGAGTGGCTGGTAAGTTTGAACCACCAGCCTTCTGGTTAGCAGTCAAGTGCCTTAAGCACTACGCTACCAGAGCCTCCTGGCAGTTATCCCTCAAACTTCTCTCAATTGGCTTTGCTGATGTGCTCCTCACTTTCTGAATGCTTCTCTGCTTTGTTTATTGGTTTACTTAGCTTTTCCTATTCTTTAACTGTGGCTGCTCCAACATTTTCTGAAAAGGTCTCAGTGTTATGGTTTCCTTGCTCTTTGCATGTTGTCACCACTAATATGTTTCTCAACCCATTTCAACCTGATTTTCATTTTCTACTGTTATCTTGTTAGGTGCCATTGAGTTGGTATTGGCTCATAGCGATCTTATGTACAACAGAACAAAACACTGCCCAGTCCTGCACCATCCTCACAATAATTGACATGTCTGAGCCCATCATTGCAGCCTCTGTGTCAATCCATCTCATTGAGGATCTTCCCCTTTTTTGCTGACTCTGTACTTTACCCAATATGATATCCTTCTCCAGGGACTGGTCCCTTCCGATAACATGACTAAAGTACGTGACAGCAAGTCTGACCATTTTCACTTCTAAGAAGCATTCTGGCTGTTCTTCTTCCAAGACAGATTTGTTCATTCTTCTAGCAGTCCATGGTACATTCAATATTCTTCCCCAGTACTGCAATTCAAATGCATCAATTCTTCCTCAGTCTTCCTTATTCACTGTGCAGCTTTCATATGCATATGAAGCTATTGAAAATACCTTGGCTTGGGTTGGGCGCACCTTAGTTTTCAAAGTGACATCTTTGCTCTTTAACGCTTTAAAGAGATCTTTTGCAGTAGATTTGCCAAGTGCAACACGATGTCTGATTTCTTGACTGCTGCATCCATGGGTGTTGATTATGGAGCCAAGTAAAATGAATTCCTTGACAACTTCATCTTTTCTTCATTTATCCTGATATTACTTATTGGTCCAGTTGTAAGCATTTTTGTTTTCTTTGTGTTGGGGTATAGTCCATACTGAAGGCTGTAGTCTTTGATCTTCAGTAAGTGCTTCAAGTCTTCTTTACTTTCAACAAGCAAGGTTGTGTCACTTGCATATTACAGATTGTTAATGAGTCTTCCTCTAATCCTGATGCTCCATTCTTCTTCATATAGTCCAACTTCTCGGATTATTTGCTCAGCATACCAACTGAACAAGTATGGTGAAAGGATACAACCCTGATGCATGCCATTCCTGATTTTCTGCCATTCTGCATCCCCTTCTTCTGTTCGAATGACTGTCTCTTGGTTTATGTACAGGTTCCTCATGAACCAATTAAGTGTTCTGGCATTTTCTAATAAACCCATACTCACTTCCAGTCAATTCCTACTCATAGTGACCCTTGTTGAATTTCTGAGGCAGTAAATCTTTGGGGAGGTTGATTGCCCCATCTTCCTAGGACATTTTCTGCTGCTATGTAATTCCTTCTGTCTCTATCTGTCTGTTAAATATTGGTATCTCCCAGGGTCTGTATTTGATACACTGTTTTCTCCCCCTACATACTTTCCTGGGTGATCTCATTAATTCCTATGCTTTAACTACCATTTCTATGCTGATAAATTCCAACTCCACAGCTTCAGTACAGCTCTCTTCCTTAGGCTTCAGCCTTAAATACCAAACTTCCTGCTGACATTTCCATTTGAATGTTCCACATGTACCTTAAACTCAATACATCCAGAGCAGAATGATTTTCTTTCTTCACAAACCTCCTCCTCCTCTTATATTTTTTATTTCAGTAGGTGATACCACCATTTACTCAGTTACCCCAGATATAATCTTGGGAGTCATCTTTGACTCTTCCTTCACCTTGACCTCCAACATGCAACCAATTACTAAAGTCTTGTACACCTTACCTTTTAAATATTTTTTTAAATGTATCTTGTCCCTCCTTAATACCCATGTCTAGGCCACTATTATCTCTTGCTTGGACCATTCCAATAGTATCCTCTTGCTTCCAGTCTTGTCTCTTTCCTTCCATCCTACTCACAGTCATCAGCATTATTTGAATTCACTTGTCTGTCTTTCTGTTAGACTTGATGGCAGGAACCACGTTTTACTTGTGTTTGTCTACTGAGTGCTTAGCACATAGCAGATGTTTAGATTTTTTTTTTTTTTTTTTTAGGAAAAGCTCTCATCTCTCACTTGTGCTCTGGTGGCTTAATGGATAAGGCATTTGGCTGCTATCCAGGAGGTCAGCAGTTCAAACCCACCAACCCCTCCACAGAAGGAAGATGGGGCAATAAGAAGATGGGGTGATCTACTTTCATAAAGTTTATAGCCTCAGAAACCCAGTGGGGGTCGCTATGAGTTGGAATCAACTCGATGGCAGTGAGTTTGGTTTTTTGTTTTTCCGACTTGTGCTATAGTTTCACATCTCCAACCCCCATCAGCACAGCTCTTCTTGGATGGTTCATGATCACTTCAAATTCAACATATATAATACTTCAAATCATTTTTCCACCAAAAGTCAGCATAAACCCATACCAGTTCCTTGTCCCTCCATTATCATCTCCTTTCTAGTACTCACTACCTTCTACTTGGATGACTGCAACAGCTGCCTAACAGGCTTCCTTGATTTTATTCTCTCCTCCTTTCAATGCATTCTATATGTTATTCTTCAGAAGAAAAGGAAGAAAACTCATTTGCATCATGCAGTTTCCTTGCTCAAAACTCAACAGTGGCTCAAGGTCCTCCATTTTGTACAATACTTAATTATTCTCTTCTCCAGTGTCTCCTCAGCTACTTGAACTAGGCAGGTTGATTTCTCTAAGAGCTGCCCATGCTCAATTCCAACCATAAACCTTTGATTCATGTCGCTTTTCTCCTATTCAAATTCTGCTCACTCATCAAGATCCAAATCAATTCCTACCTTCTCCACTGGGTCTTCTTGATTGGGTCCCCCAATTTCTAAACTACTATAGCACTTCTGTCTGTACTATTTATCTTGTCTCAATGATACATTATCTTGGGTGGTTGTTGAATTATTTCCTCTTCGGTAGTCTCTACTCTCCAATTAGACTATAAACTACTGGAGAACTGACACCATGTGTTCCATTTTTATTTTAAATTCTCTTGGTGCCTATCTTAGCACTCAATGAATGTTTCTGAATGAATGAGGGGTAAAAGAAGATGAGAAAGTGTTAAAAAGCCTTTTATCAATGTAAATTTTATAGTTCTTACTTATTTTTATTCTCAGCAGGAAAAACTTCATAAACAAAATACATAATTATTTTCCAAACTAGGAATCAATAAAAAATTAATGTTGAAAAAATTTTTAACATAGAAACGGAACAGAGACTGGAGAGGTGAAGGTGGAGTACTTTCTAGCTACTCCTGAACTGAATTTTCAGTATGGCTGCTTAAATATTTTCAAGCACTGTCCACTCCCTGAACACCTAAAACAGCCATTGCAAAATGTAAGAACAAAAACCACTGTAAGGGAAAGTAGAAAATATTTCTGAGTTATCTATACTGCTCTGCCATGCCCCTAGTACATATGATTGAAAGTCAACTGCTGAGTTTCAGATTTGTGAATTGTCTTAGCAATAATTCTCTTGGTAGACACAATTTGAGAGACAGATAGTTGTATGAGATTCCTCCTTCCCACCCTAAGTCACAAGAAGGAGTCACATTTTTAAACATGTTTAGATTCTGAGTCCTTGTCTAGGCTTTTCTGATTTGGATTTGGTATTTATTGGTCCCTGTTGACAGATATAAGCATCTTGGGTGTAACTGTTACTTGGAACAAAGGTATAAATCAGAAAGTTAGTCATGTCAGCATTGTTATAAGCTTGCTTTTTTGTGGGGCAGAGAGTTCATTACTCATTACAAGTCTTCCTTCAGATTCCCAGAGCTACTTGGTGGCAACTTTTATTCTTTCATGAAGTTCCATTCCTTGCCCTTGCTGTGTTCCTCTATTAGCATTGAGTGCACACTTGGTGACTGTAGTCCCACCCCTTGGTATTTTGTAGGGCCAGTTGTTGCTGGAGTAGTGGGCCTCACCATGCCCAGATACTGCTTGTTTGGAGACACTGTGAACACTGCTTCTCGGATGGAATCAACAGGGTTACGTGAGTACCTACAGAGGGATAGGGTGGTACCTTCCTGCTATAGGGAAAGTGATTCTTCCTCAGAACAGGGCAACGATAACAGGATCATTGAGGCTTTAATGTTTTTAAGGAAAAATAAAAGAGAATTTGAGAAGATTAAAGACATTTATCACACATTTTCCTGGTCTCTAATGGCCAAACCAGTAGGGGGTGTTGTTGGACTGAGTATGCACCTTTCTTGTTACAGAAATAAAGCTGTAGCTAAGTGACACTGAAACAGCCAGTCAATTTGATCAAAACAACTAAAAAAATCATTTAGGTAAAAGAAAAATACTGGCTAGTTTGGTGGTTTTAGGGGAGTCATGTCAAAAAAACAAAAGGACTAGGTAGGTAAGGAGCTGACATTTTCAGTTTTTCAAGTGGTTCATGGAGACACCCAGAGCCAGCTGCCTCCCAGGAGGCCACTGCTCTTATCTTGTTTTCGAACTAGTTAAGACCCCAGGAGCTCTGGCTTCATCAAATAGCCCCCTTGAATTTAGCAGTAATCCCTTAACCTAAGAAGCCTGAAATTCTGAAATAATTAATTCTAACTTGCTCGTATACAAAAACCTTAGCTTCTATCAAAGCAGGCATGATATCAAAGATACCATTTCTCCCCCTCTTCCTTGAGAGGAAAACTGCACAAACCATTATAGCATTTGTCCATTACTGGTAAAATACCGGCTCAACTCTTTATTGGTCATTTACTGCCAGATTATTTAATGCCACTAACAAGGCAATGTCACAAGCAAAATGTGCCTTTTACCTATGTCATGGCTGAGCAAAGCAATATGCTCATGCAATTATAGAAAGCATACAAAACAATATTTGATTCTATCTACTGTTTTCATGGGTTTTATAAAAAACACTTAAGCTCTTAGCAGCCTGGACTCTGGCAGCGCCTAGGCAAGACAAGCTCTTCCCAAACTTCAGCAATATCCTCACACTAGTCCCTGATAGTATGGTGGCCTATATCACAGTGGGTGGTGCCCTGTCTGACCCCACTCCCCATCACTCATGTACAGAAACAGGCTTACACAATGGGTCCAGTCTTAGTCAATCTAGCCTGTGCAGCCATGATTAAGGGGGCAGCACGGAACCTAGAAACTGTTGTCAGAATAAATTTTCTGACATCTGGGAAAGTCTTCGAACTCCACAGACATGGCAGAAGCCATGCAAGTAGTCATCCAGGAACTGCTGCAATGCATATGACTTTGCATATGACTTTGCTCTTGAAGTGCAACCCAAGATTAAGTGAAATTGATCATGGAACCGCAATGCAGATTTGGCAGAGGACCCTGGACTGATGTAAGCTTATAGAAGACTGAAGTCATATTCTGGTCTGCACCAGGGAAGCTCCACACATTTCACATTGTAACTATAGGGTTGAGAGCAGAAATTGAATTTTGAGATTTAAGCAGCGACTTTTCCAGTGATCAACTGTGTTGTTGCTATTTGCCATCGAGTCGGCCCCGACTCATAGCGACCCCTCTTTCGGTTTCTGAGGCAGTATCACTATGGAAGTAGGAATGCCCAACCTTCCTTCCGAGGAGTGGCTGGTGGGTTTGAACCGCTAGCCTTCTGGTTAGCAGGCAAGTGCCTTAGGCACTATGCTACCAGAGCGCCTAGTGATCAATTAGGAAGACAAAAATGGAGTGAATCACCCACAGCAGGTGTTTATTGAGCACTGGCTATGCAAGGAAGGCCGTGTGAGGGATCCAAAGATGCGTACAAATGTAGTCTCTGCACTAAAGGAGAAGCTTAGTGTGATCTTCTGGAAGCTAATGACTGTGTCCCAAATATGGCATTAATCTTCACACCTGATTGAAGACTTCTTAAGAGGTAGCCTTTAACTTTTTAGTGGCTATAAAACCAGGATATGTCCAAGATCTATGCTGAAAAAAATCTATTACATCAATATGTGCCCAGTTGAATCCACTGACATTCTAGTATGGGAGTGACTAGTGACCCATCCCTGAAGTGATCCTCATTACCACACAACTGGATGGTGGATGGAATGGGCTATCTGCTCTCTTTTGAGCTATGTGTTCCCCACCAACAAGATCACTCTACTGAAAGACTCCCTGAAGACCAGATGCTAGGGAGATGGCACACATAGGGCTGGTTAGGGACATGCTAGCCCAGCATTTGGCCCTTAGAAATAGGAAACCCTTTTTGAGCAGAGGCTTTCAGTGACCATGAGTCAGTGAGGAAGACTCAACAGTTCTAAGCTGTCAAGAAGAGGAAAGTCTTTGTGAGTCCACATAGCAGGAATTTCTTGTAGATCTTTTCAGTCATGCCTCCCTACTCAGATTTTAATCATCTTTTAAAAGTTACTTTCTCTAGCATGTGTGAGAATGAATCTTGATTTTTATTTAAGATTTGACCCCAACAAGGTCTCCCTTCTTAGGATGACAGTTTTCAAGAAGGTCCGGGATCTTACCTCAGTTAACAAATGATTGCTCTTTATCAAAGAATTATGCGTTGGCTCTGCAAAAAATATTTTTTGAATTTATTTTATTGTAGTTCTCCATATACAGCTTTTATTTCAGGTTAGGGTCACTGGTTAAAAAATAATACATTCATATGCGTACACAGCTATATGTACCCACTCAAAGGACAGCTGTAAATGTGCTAAAAAACCAAACCAATCCACTGCCATCAGGTCCGTTCAGACTCATAGTGACTCTATAGGATACAGTATGACTGTCCCACAGGTTTTCCAAGGCTATATAATCTTTACGGAAGCAGACTGCCATCTTTCTCCTGCAGAGCCACTGAGGTTCAAACCATCTTTGGTTAGCAGCTGAACACTTAACCACTGCACCTCCAGGGCTCTCCACAAAATGTTTATTGACAAAGGTCTTTGGATATTTCCCATTGATGTTTTAAGTACAGCAATATTGATAGAGGTTTGCATAGATGCACAGATAATGACTCCCTTTTGTCTTTTAAGTGGGGTTATGTAAAGTTTAGGAGTTCATCTCTAGCTGAAACCTGTGAGAGAAGCTGCTGGGGCCAAATTACCCTCAAAGGAGGTCCTGTCTCAGTTGAGAGCACAGTGGTGGTTGCTGGTTTTTTCATCTCAACTCTAGAGTTAAATTAACACCTTTCTATTGCATGGCCTTTCCTCTGAGATAGTGTCTAGGAGGCTGAGAGGTGCAACATATAATGCCTTATGTGGGCCTGGTGAGGAAGGCCATCATTCCCCTTACTCCTCCCCTGTGAAACCCAGGCTAGCACTCTTCCAGGGACTTCCAGTAGGGTCTAGTTCATTTAGAAGTGGGAGGATTTATTACACTGATATTTTCTCATTGATTTGACCTCAAAGTAGCCAAAGTCATGCCACCCCTTCTTTTGCAGCGTATCGCATTCATGTCAGTTACAGCACAGTGACAATTCTTCAAGCTCTGAGTGAGGGCTATGAAGTGGAGCTCCGAGGAAAGACAGAGCTCAAGGTATAATGTCCTTTTGTTGTTTGAACTAAACCACTTGGACACACCCATTTCTGGAGAGGTTATGGTCTGCTGAAAGAGTTTACCTAGGAGTCTGAGACTCAGAGCGGTAGTTTAGGCTGAATCTCCAGTCATGTTTGGGGTTTGAACAGATTTTTCCGTTTTGCCTCTGTTTTCTTCTTGTTAAAATATGGTTGCAAAGCTAAGGATTGTGGGAACTTCTGCATTTCTCAGTGTATGAACTGTACCTTTCTCTCCTGAAGAACTGCCCAGAATTTGGCCGTCTGATAAGGTGCACTATTGTTCACACTTCCTCACTTCCATTTTGGTTACTCTTTGGCAGTGCCAGACATTGCTCAAGAGCCACAATATTGAGGAGTTTGGGTTTCCTATTCACCTGCTCAGTAGCCACTCTTCTGAATTTTCACTTTCACCACTGACTTACTGTTTATAGTAAGGTTTTATGTCCTTTTTAGTATTTTTTTTTTCTTGCAAGGCTGTCATTTGATCTGAAATTCAGGATTAGAATAATTTTCCCTTTTTTGTTTCCACTGGATTCTCCTCATCTCCCCTCTGGATGACCTCAGTGCCACTGGCTACCCCAATTGTAGAAACCCTAGAGATCTGATCGTCTAACTCCATCATTTTCAAATGAAGGTGATGTTAGTAAGTTCACACAGTCAGTTAATAGCAGAATCAGGCCAAATCCCAGGAAGTCTGACTTCCTGGTTAATGCCCTTTCCATGACACCATGCTACATGAAAAGTGATTTCCTCGGTGCTTATTTTTGAGCAAACCAAAGCCAAGGCACTGAGTGATACACACTTTTTTTCAGTCATTGACATGTGATTCCCAAATGGTGGCAATTTCCATGTAACTGGGTTTCAGAAGTTAAAGCCTGGGAATCCTGATTCTAGTTTATCATTTCCTTTTCTGACTAGTCCTAGCTTGTTCCTTCCAATAGGTTCTTAGTATCTTTCAGCAGGTGATATGAGTCACTTACAAGGTTAGAAAGGCAGGCAACATGACAGTTTCCAACCTCTGTAGAAAACTCAGATAGTTAGGTGAACGGGGTGGGGATATTACTTGGGCAGTGAATCAAATCACCCAAGGCTTTTGTGATCCTTTTATACATTCTGCCATTTCTCAGCAGAGGAAGACAAAGGCAGCTTGGTTTCCTGGAGGACTTTTTTCCTCTATCTTGCTAGACACAGATTTCCTCATCTGAAAGCTATAGAGCTGAAGAAGTGCCACTTTCAAAAGTGAAAAGGAGAAAAAATATACCGCTAACCCCATAGTTTCTATTGCCCCTCAGATTCCAGGCATGAATACTCAACATATTTGGGTGTTTCAAGTACAAAACTGCGACTTACTTCAAAAGGGCTCTCTGCAACTTCACAGTTTCCCCCACTCCCAGGGGGCATTTGGGAATGTGCTACAGGAAGGTGGAAGAAGAAGCAGGAAGAGGCTTCCTCTGAGGCCATGTTAGGCCTTGGTTATTGGGGTGGCAAGGACCTCTTGAAGAAGAACGATTGAGAGGGAGATACTGAAAGAGGAAAGGAGAGGGGAGTGGGCTAAAGGAATGGGAAGGGACAATGAGAAGGAGGAAAAGGAGAGAAAATAAGATTCAACAAGAAGAAGGGAGAGCAGAGGAGATTCTTCCTGTCTTTGTATTTACCACCTCTGAGCCAAAGGCAGGTATTGTGCATTGCATGCGAGGGGCTGTGTTTCAGTCATTTAGTGCCACTCTAACACAAAATACCATAAATATATGGCTTTAACAAATGGGAGTTTATTTTCTTAGAGTTTAGGAGGCTAGAAGTCAGAGTTCAAAGTCCCAGCTCTAGGGGCTGGGTGAAAGCCCCTCAACCTTGGGCTTCAGCTCTGCTTCTTGCTCCCGAACCACTGAAGCTGGAAGCTTCTCTTAGACAGTTGCTGGCTGCTGAGGCTGACAAACCCAAGGTCTACAAGTAAAATAGCACCATCCCAAGATTATCAAACCACATGGCAGACCACTAATTCAAGTCCATTAACAGTCTCAAAATCGGCAGGCAACATGACAGGCCATTGAAATGAAGACTTGGCCAAGTGTAGGATCTAGACATGCCAAAAGCTCCAAGACCTTTTTCAACACTTCTCTTTATATACTGGAAGTAGACCACAGCCCTAAGGCAGCTACTCAGCTGTTCCAGTAGATTCCATCATGGAGCTGATTATCAGTCTCATCATAAGGAATAACTACATCCAGCTACCCAGCCACTCTAAACCAGGCCCAGCCAAGTTGACACACAACCTTAACCACCACAGGCTGGCAGATAGGAGATTCCTAGTACTTTGGGGGCATGGAGTATACTCCTACTAAGACCATATCCTCAGCATATTTCAGAAATTGTGATTCAATATTCCACCCCACCCCTCATATGCTCAGTGGTGCTAGAAAGCAAGAGTTGCTCTTTCACGTGGTTATTGGCCAGTCAGGTGTTAGTTATCTCAAAGGTTCAAAGAAGGCCCTCATGGCTAGAAGCAATCTCTGCTTCCAGTTGCCTGACATTTTAAATTCTTCCATCAGATCCTCTTCCTTAGGTTTGAAGCTTAGATCCAGTAATAACAGAACTATCTATACCTATACACATGCCGACTCCCATACTCCCCCTACTTCTCCTTCATTGGAGTGGGACACTTTAAGTTGTTGTCTTTAGTGGAATAAAAGACTTGGGTGTCAGGAAAGAACATAAGGACAGTTGAGTATTTGGGGGTGGAAGAGCATGAAGAAAGAGACCCAAAAAAGGAAGCTGAGGTAGTTTGGGGCAGGACTCATTTAGGGACGCGGAGCTGTGCCACAGCCCACTGCAACCGTCTCTCATGCAGTACTGGGAACAATGACCAATGTTTAACTGGCCAATTCTGCTTTTTCAATATTCCTTTTCTGATGGGTTAGTGATATGTCATTTTATTACTGCTTCTCTTACATGAGATCTCTTTCAGCTACCATTTTCCAGACAAGTTTGAAGCTCCTTGCTGAGGTTTTGTATATAGGTAGTTTTATCACTTACATTTTACCTTCTAGGTAAGTTGTTCTCAGCCAATTTTGTGTTCCTGCTAGAGGTGGATACTTTCTGACCTTATCTTTGAATTCTGGGGTTAAATGTTATTTGGTTATCAGGCTTGTAAGCATCAGTCCCATTTTAGTTGTGATTTCTACTCTCCCCTCAACCTCTTCCATTCCTACTCCCAACTCCACACATAAGTGAGCATGCATGCATGCACACACTCATGCCATCCTCTGTGTGCATGTGTATGTGCACGCACACACACACACATCAGCAATTCAGCTAAGAAATCATAAGGTTGTATTGAAAGTCATGGAGGTTCAGAAAGTTTGATTTCTAATTCTTGCCCCATCAATGACTCAATGTACAACATTAGACAAGTAACTTCATCCTCTCTGTGCTTCAGTTTCTCCACATAGAGACCTCTTCTAACCTGTGGTTACTGGGGAGTTCATCAATCATAGGCTCTTAAATTCCCAACACATACTTTTTGGCCTCTAGACCTGCTGCTTGGCTCCAGTGTTGGAGAGGCTATATGGTTGGAAAGAAGAGCATTTAAAAATTGGAGTCTAGTAAAGCTAGGTTCAAATCCAAGCTATACCTGCTTATTAACAAGTCATTTAATCTCCCTGAACCTCAATGTCCTTATTTTCAGAATGAGGTTAATAATACAACTACTTTCTAGAGTTGTTGTTAGGATTAAATAAGATAGGAGATGCTAAAATGTTTTAAAAGTTCCATGCCAAACTAAGATGCTAGTATTTGGGGGGTCTTTGACACTGCTGAGGGATTTATGTTGGTTCAAAGGGTTTGCTTTAGGCTTTGTTGTTATCATACTTGCTTCTCCCCTCTCCATCCCTTCAACAGAATTTTGGAAGTGGAGTGGGTAAACAGAGAGCAAGGATTCTAAGAATTCTCCTGGATGATCTCCAAAACCTCAGAGAGCCCCTGGAGCTCCCCTGCATACCCTTTGATTTGGAAGCTTGCCTAAGTCCATAACATTCCCATACTCTTTTATAACCATTAGTGTTGGCATCCTAGTGTGTCCCAGGACCCACCGAAATATCTGAACACTCCTGACATCTACAAACCTCCCTTGGGGATTGGCATGGTGTCCTGGTGGCCTACAGATCTCAAGATAAGCATTGAAATATGGCTGGATGTTGGGGTCCTCAAGTTTGAACTTTAACACTATGTTTTACCAAAAGGAGATCCAATGATACCTTGAATGCCATGTGCTAAATGGTTGAAAGTTCCATTTAATGGAAAAGTCTGATTATTTATTGAGCAACTATTCTGTACAGACACTGCACTAGGTATTGTCAGGAAAAGAAAGAGCTTAGGAGGCAAAGAAGTTGAGCTTAATGTGTTTTGGGCCCAAGACATGGCCTGATGGTTGTTTTAATTTAACAACACTGTGAACTCCTTAAGGACATACCTGTGTCTTATTCATCTTTGCATTCCCAGCCCCGGTACAGGGAGAGTAAATGTTTGTAGAATAAATGCAAGAATGAATGATGTTAGTATACTTTCAAGTTATTTGTCTTTTCCAAAAACAGAGAGGCCTCAAGTAGCCAAGTTATTTGAGGTTTAGGGTGAGTTGGTTGCCAGTTAATGGAGGTTTAACTATGGTGATGTTTTCTTCCTACTTGCCTCATGGAGGGCTTGTTTGGAGGCTTGAACCAAATATTTGCAAAATGCTTCCAGATTCTCCAGTTAAATGGACTAATTATTGTTATAGTTATTGTCATTATTATTAAGGGATGAATATATGTGATATAAAATAGAGAACAATGGATTTGATATTAAACAGGGCAAATCTAATTGGAATCTCTAAGTTAAACAATTTAAAACTGTTCCAAATGAGAGTTGCTGAGAGTGAGACCATATTTCAGATTAATGAGTTGGAAACACATCCCATTACTTTTCTCAATCTTAGTAAACACATTTTTTTTCTTATGGTTTGGAGGAAATGAGAGGGCAGACAAAAGAGAACTGAAAGAAGAGGGAAGCATGTTGAGAGGCAGGTTAACTGGAAAAAAAGGAGGACAGGGCAGAGGCAGAGAATTCAGCTCTTCTTAGGTCACCACTTAGGCTCTTGAGTTTACACCCCCTTTTTCTTCCCAGAGTTATGGTTCTTAACAACCACCACACTCCACTAGGCTGTAGATGGGGACCTTCCTAGGATCTCTCTTTATCTGGAAGAATCCCTCAGCAGGAAAGAAATAACCCTGCAGAAATTGTAGACCTCCTAAAGCAGCCAGGATTCCCTAGGTTTAAAAACAAAGTTGCAAGCCTGCTTTCCATTTCTATTTCCTTTTTGGGTTTTGTGAGAGCCTTTGGATGGCAGGGTGTGTGTGTGGGTAGACTCTGAAGGTATGTACTCTAGAAACAAAAGACAATGGATTGCTCAATGCCAAAAGATCAGGGTGACAATGACAAAATCTTCAGTTGTGCATCCAGATGTTTGGCCACTATGAAGGCAAACATCTACACATTCCCAAACACAGAGCTGCATGGTGGCGAGTAGACAAAACATCTGGATGTCAGCTTGAAATGGTGTTCACTTTTCATCTGGCTGCTCTAGCAGCCATGGAGCCTGCCTGAGCCTAAGGTACAGATAGCAAGGAAGTCACATAGGAAGGAAGAGCCCAGGGAATGGTGACGAGGGGAAAGAAGAAGCAATATCTGAGTGAAATGGAATACTTTCTTATGCCCTATTGACCAGAAGAACTTCTCTGGGAAAATTGGTTACAGCATGTTTAAGATTTTCCGTATTTTCTGTAATAAGGGCAAAGGCACAGAAGATACCTTCTGGCTGGTTGGAAAAAGAGGCTTCACGAAGCCCCTTCCTGTGCCCCCATCAATGGGCAAAGATGGGTAAGTGAAGTTCACACTTAATCAGAGTCTTCCTGTGCCCCTCTCTGCTACTCTCTCTTGACTAACTATTTTGGTATCTCTCCTATCCTGCAGGCAAATGGGCCATGGCCTGCAACCAGTGGAGATTGCAGCCTTTCAAAGGAGAAAAGCAGAAAGGCAGCTGATGAGAAACAAACTGTAAGGTAATGGCCAGCAGGGAAACAGCACAGGAGCTTGCCAGATTTTCACAGCTGGGGCTCCCTTTGGCATGGGTGCCAGTCTCAGCTACACTCTGGCTGGCAGAGTGTGATGGAGCTGGTGAATTTCCAAGCTCCCTCTGCAAAATCCTTGTTGTGGGCAGGCCTGTTGCAGAGCGAGCTGCCACTGGAGGGGCTCGGCTGCCCTGGCCTGAGAGAGATCCTTGTCTCCTGCACTGATAGCACCTTCGAATGCTAACAAGGGGCCAGTTATGAGGCAGGTGCACTTGTGTCATTGCTGAGGACCTAAACCACCTAGTGAGCTACTTCGGTCCCTTAGAGACATCTGTCTAAGCAACACAGCAGTGTTGAGCCTACCCACTTTTCCTGGGATCGTCTATT